TAATTATTCTGTACGGCTGTAATCGGACAGTTGGCTGTAATCGGATACCTGTAATCGAACAGTTGAAGCAGCCAATCATACTAAGTCCGCTCAGCCAAATCTGCCAATCACAGAATTATCACAATAACCATAGCAACAACCACTCATCCTGAAAAAACTGAGGAATTTCCAAAATGGAGAATTGTTTTTACTTTAAAATTGTCTCTAACGGAGATTTGACCCAAATGTATTCGTTGTTTTCGGAAATTGTAACAGTTATGATTAATTAGTAACAGGACTTCTTGTCGTCCAATTCTGTCCATAATCATACTCGTGATTGACAAATTGGACTCCCACTTCGAGGTCGCATAATTTTGTTAATTACTTTTATGATTACAGACCTAATTGGGTTCCACTCGGTACATTTTTCATTATTTATCGCAAGAGTTAGCAAACAAGTTTTGCTTCAATATCTCGACGTAGACGCCCGGAAGCTACATTTTTTTTTAATTACCTTCTCTTCCTTGTCCAGCTGTAACTTTGACATTTAAAGGGGAACTTTGCTTGTTTTAGAGCGATATTAAAACGTCTAATCTGACTTGATTACTGAAATCGCAACTCTTGGCTTCCCTTTATTAGAAACGCAGAAGATGTTGTCGTTTGTGCACGTGCCACTGAGTCTGAGTCTGAGGACCTATGGAGTCGTTAATCAAGAGCAAAATTTCTGTTTTGAATTTACCAGCAGTATATGTTTATTAACAAACTTTGTTTTTTTTGTTCTACGCCGTTTGCAATAATGATAGAATGAATACTTTTATTTTCCCATGAAGCCAATTCAGACATTCCTGCAGCTCATGATAATGTTTTAAGTTACAATTTACACCGTGAAATAGTATTGGAAGAAACAAAATTGTTTATTTTCAAGGTACTTCAAAACTTCTTAAATACTGCTGGCATTACATTATTTACAATAATCAAATTAACTACAGATTTCAGTTTCAGCAAAATTTCCAGATTTCTTTTCGTCTCTTTGAAGCAAAATTTGCACCGAGTCGTTGTTTAATTGCAGTTTTATTCTTTTCGACTTCCTGCCACCAAACAGTTGGCGTATTTCCGAAACACCTCATTACTTAAGAGTCATTTTCCGAGAAAATCGAAATCGCAAGACACTCGGGAAAAAAAACGAATTTTTTTTCCTTTCCCCAAAACATCCCTTCTAGTAACCTTATTGAAGAAAAAATAATTTTGGGTTCAAGCGATTCCTTGTACGGGAGAAATTACAAAAAGTTTGAAAAATCGATTTTATGCTGGTTTTTCGTACTCAAAACAACAGAATCCGACCGCAACTTCGAGAAAACGGTGAACGCATAAGAAACAATCCCTAACATCGAAACTTCAGCCGAGTATTATTTCGTACTTACTCTTTAATTTCCTGAAAGAAATTTGAAGAAAGAAGTTTTTAACATTTACAATCGACAAGTTTAAAAAGGTCAAATTTGTATCTCCGGAAATGTTAATAAACGAAGGCGAACTTTAACTGTTGTAAAAGGCCACTGGTATATGCCGCTTCCTGGTAAAACCCATATAGAATAAAACCTTGGCTATTAAACTAAATTACTGGAAAAGTTTTAGCTCTGGAAATCCAATACAGTCCTCACACTAAAGTAAGCAATTTGAGTATCTGAGTAAATAAAATTTATGCAAATTAGACGGCCCGCTGAATGAATTCATATTTTTAACGCAAAGTTTTGTTGAACGAACAACTTACCATTGCTTTTTGTGAGAGAAGTTAAATCCATCTCTTAATCTGTTTGTCCTGTGAAGTGGCAACTCATCCATAACTGATTTTGACCAAAATGTGTCCAGCAACTTCAGCGCTTGAGCTATCTAAACACTTCCCACGCAGCGCTTATTACACATCATCAGACGCTTCTGTAATAATGAAACCCGATTATGTTTTGGTCCGAAAATAACATACAATGATGAAAATTAACCACTGCTCAAACCACGCAGTTAACAAGGTGAGTATTACTCTTATTGAGCGACCAAATCAGATACCAGACGGGATAACAAGATGATGTGACACATGATTTAACAAACGTGCAGGGATTGGTCACGCTAGCTTGTCACATACGACGGTACATACTATACTTCGTACACATTGTAAACAGACAAAAAAGCAATTACAGCTGTCCCAATGAAAAAATGTACAACCCTACGTCTGTTTATAGATCATCAGTGTAGAAATATTCGACTCTAGGAACAATATTAATATAACATTTCCAGGTCAAATGCTCCTGGAATAAAATTTATATATTGTCACGAACTGTTTCGCCACTTACTATTGCACGAGCCTTTACGATTTTATTTTTAATTGAATTATTTCCGTCTAGTATTACGAAATGCTGAAACAGTGTCAGAGGAGTTTGTCCCGTTTGTTGGGAGAGCTTTGTTTTTTGTCATGGCTTCGGCAACGTTTCACTCATCTGGTTTTTCTGGCTTATTACACGACGCCACCCCTGTGGTTTAAGCAGCGATTATCCAGGTCAAGTTAAAGTTCTCGCTTTAAGAAATTGTACAAGGGACATATCGAGGCACGGCGAGCTGTATGGATTAAAAGCAGATAATAACAGATACAGATATGGAAACTGCTGTTAGCAAGAACAGGTAAATCTTATGTACTGTCTTACCGTCTTACGTAACGGCTAATGGTGTACACTTCCATCATCTTTTTATCACAGACCTCACGATGATCATATTATTCTAGGAAAATCTTCAGGTGCTTTCCATTCAGCCCAAAATTCCGGAAAGTTCGGTTACAAATCAAATGGAATGGACCATTTCGGTTCGGTCCTACCAGAATATTTGTGAACGCCTTTGAAGCTGGTCCACTTTGACCGGTCAGGTTATTTCGGTCGGTCGAACCGAAATGTCACCCTCCATTCGACAAAATTATTGTCCCCAGTACTTGCGCACCGCTCTTTTGTATCCTGCTTGCAAGAACAATAAGCAAACGAGTTCATCTCTTTAAAAATCGCAGGCTTTTATCCGCGGCGTTAATATTTTGCAAACCTAATAGTAACGCTTACGATAGCAAAAAAGATCTTTATTCACCCCCCTCCTCCACCACCCACGCACACACCAACACACACACACACACACACACACACACACACACACACACACACACACACACACACACACACGCACACCTGTCACTGATACACAGACTTTAAAGACTTTTTTATGAAAACGCGACCTCGAGATCTCCTGGCACACGAGCCCCACACAATATGCTCTCGCCACAGAGCGGAATTTGGTATACGCTGGAGATCCTCAAAAGTGAAGTGTAGCATTCCACTAGAAATAGCTGCTCACAAAACAGCCTCGTTCAGAGGCGATCGGCATTTGGACAGCGTTCTATCTGCATTTTATTTTAAACACTAAAGGCATACTTATTCAAGTTGGATCGCGTAAGTTCATCGTAACACATTTGTAGCTGAAGTATACGCTTTAATTTTAAACGCGCGAAATCGTAAAGCAACATATATGCAAGCGTTACAATACCCTTTATTCTCCTGTTCCCCTCCTCCCAAAAAAGAAAAGATAAAGATATTCTAGTTGGTTAGTATGTAAATTTGCTCTTGGCTTTGAAGAATAGTCAAGAAATCGGCGATGGCCTTTTAACAAGGTTAACATTCATTTTTGCCACAGCTCTTTGTAGAATATGTGCAAGCAACTTTTCGTGGAGACAAACCAACAACAGAAGGTGACACCCGCACCAATGATTGAAGTTACTCCATGTGTAGAACTAGAGACTTCAGAAACAAATGTAAGTAAGTAAACAGTAACCTTGGATACAGACAGTTATTCCAACATAACAAATGTCGAAATTCCGAAAGGGCTGGGCAACTGTGAATAACTGTAAACTTTAAAAATGACTCTGAAAATGATTTTAAGACAAATAGGTCACTGTTCGTTTCTTTGAATTCCTTTCGGTTTGGCCGGAGCGGGAGTATTGATAATGATAGTGGTATGCATGTAAATTCATATTTTCTTTTTTTAAATGATGGATAACTTAAGTTTCGAACGATACTATAAAAACTAATGCCTAGTGACAAAATAAACAGAAATATTGAAGTAACATTGATGTCTAAACGTCTTTTTTGTATGTTACAGAACAGCTCAAACTCATCCCCAGGAGAAAGTGATACCGGTCAATCTGTTGAAGAGTTCGCAGAAAGCCTTGGACGTCTTACAATCGCTGATGACACCTTTCTGTCACCAGACACAATAAGCACAGCTTCCACTCAGAGCGCCGAGCCCACACCTGTGATCTTACCTAAGCCGCACGAAAAGCTGAGTGAGTTCCTGGTAGCATGCAAACTTGAACCGCTTGGAAAGCCATGGCTTTTTTGGAGTGATTCCTCTGTGCGAACAAGACAACGTCAGACAAGGAGAGCCACAGAAATAGTGGCAACTGTGCTAAAGAGTGTCACCCCTGATAATGCAGGTGAACTCTGGCGACGTTTAACCTCTTCTACTACTATGAACAAGGCCCTAGGTGTGAGCGAGTTGTCACATTCAGAACATTTGTATTTAGAGGCCCAAGCAGAAGCGTACCAGAATGCAAGCAGCTGGGATACCCGTAGACAAGTGCTTCGATTATGGCAGGGGTTGGAACTTTCAACGGCATTTCCCGTTATATCCCGGGGTTGACGAGATACCGATACTCCATGGCTAATCTTCATCGATCACAGTTTGGCCGAGGCGCTCAAGTTCCACAACAGCCTACCACACGAATACGAGTAGACTTGAGGCAGCTTGACCACTTTCTTGGTTTCATCACGAGCCCGCATCTTGTTCAGGACCTTCCATTTGAGTAAAAACATTTCAAGCTTTCGTCTGGAGAGGTTATTCAAGTACCTAACGTAATCCGTATGATGATACCCGAGCGAGTGGTACAACAGTACACTTAGTACTGTTTGGAGACCAACTTGAAACCATTCAGCGAAACTACTATGAGACGGATACTCTCTGAATGCAGTGCCTCTGAAAGAAAATCACTGCAGGGCTTAGATTATTTTGCTGCTGAAGGTGCTCGCGCGTTAGATGATCTCGTGGCCCTCGTACGCCAAATAGGGGAATTAGGTTCCGGTAAGGAGTGGGAGACTACAGTTGTACAAGCTCCTATGACAAGCAAGCAGTATTTGAAGGTGGACTATAAGGTAATGTGAATTCTGTCTCCAAAAGACAGCTTGAATAAAACTAAAAATAAGTACTTACTTTACCTCATCAAAAAAATCATTCCGTAAAAAAAATATTTTTTGTACTCTTTTTCTTCTCTAAATGGTGCACGTATAAATAGCTCACATAAATTCTCGAGATTAACAATGCGCGCACGAGGATAGTGGTCTTTTCTAAGGTTAAGGTTAAAAGTTATTCGTCCCCTTACGTTAATAATATTTGTTAGATTAAAAAATCATTTGATTAACTATTATATTGAAGTATAAGCACAGACAAACAGTAATCTCAACTTTGTTTTGTCAACAGGTTCATGTCACTAGCCCCTCTAATGTAGCAGACCATTGTGTGTTCTTTGCTCTTAGCGACAGTAGTGATGCAGATTACCAGCAAAAATGCAGTCACTAACACATTGATCTTTGTGACCGTTGTCAAAGTCTTCAGGAAACTCTGGCAAAGATTGAACGACGAGACGACCTTTTCGACTCGGACGCAAAAGACGAAGCGCTATTTATATTCCAGACAGCCCAGCTGGCCATAATGTCCTGGAAATGCCACATCCTTGGATCAGCTAACCAAGACCAAGCGAGAATAGATGCACTGGAGAAACTTGACGACAACACTGTTTTGATAATTAACGACTGGGCCATGAAGTTCCTGCCACAAAAATACAGAGAGTCCCAAACCGACTGGTTTGGTAAGCGAGGCATCTCCTGGCACGTTTCTGTCGTATACCGTCGTGTGAGCGGGGTACTCCACTGGCAGTGCTTTCTGCACATAGTCCAGTCGTGCAATCAAGGCAGTGCTGCAGTGGTTAAAATCATGCAGGATGTCCTAAATACCATCAAGCTGGAGCACAGTGAGATTAACAAGGCGTTCTTTCGCCAAGATAACGCAGGATGTTATCATTCGTCGTCCACCGTACTCTCATGCCCAGTGATATCCTCCTCCACCGGCATCGAAATCAAGCGCATTGACTTTTCTGACCCACAGGGTGGAAAAGGTACCGCAGACAGGCTCGCTGCAACCTGCAAGAATCACGTCAGGACTTTCATAAACGAAGGAAATGACGTGACCAATGCCGAACAACTGAAGAGTGCTCTTCTTTCGCATGGCGGGATAGAAGGAGTTCGAGTTGATGTCATGCAAAGTGTTGAATAGGAAGCAGTAGTAGATGACAACAGAAAGATTATTGGTATCAACAAATTAAACAATTTCGAGTTTAAAGACGAAATTCTCGTAGCTTGGCGCGCTTATGGTATGGGAAAGGGAAAAGAGATCCCATTGGAAATAACATCAGAAGGTTAGTCTGATGAAAATACTCCCTTTCATCCTTTTTTAGAATTATGTCATCGCGCAAATATATATTTTTTATAGTTTGAGTAAAAGGGTGTACTTTTATCGTTTGTTATAGCCTTCAAACGCATGAAAGGCATCCATTTCCCACCCTGGTACGCAGGAGGAGCGGCGTCTGCACCCCGTGGGGCTTTGCTTTGTAAAAGACTTAAGTCACTTAGCCCCTTTTTAGAAATTTATAGCCCTCGATTTGTTCTACAAAATTTTTAAAACGAACATTGCAGGATATGGCGGTTCTGAAGAACATGTCGTCATAAGATGTAAAAAGCAAACGTTTCATCTGTTCGCGCAGTAAAGTGGACCAAAGGGCACTCTTCACAGGCTGTGCAGAGTGAAGTATTGAAGTAGGTGAACAGTGCTGTTTATGGAAATCTTGTGTCTTTATATGTTATCTACTTCAGAGCATGGCATTAGTTGGCTTTCATCTGAAATTTCTTCTGGAGACTTTAAACCCCTTAGCCCAAAACCGACTCAGTCAAGGAAGAAGTAAGAGACGGAAGTGGAGCAGGTTCATGATCCCACTGACCATACAAATGAATCGTCATCCGTGTTTACCTGCCCTCAGGATGGGTGTGTTAAGGTCTTTCAAAGGCTGTCTTCCCTCGAAAAACACCTATTTTTAGAGAAATGCATTAAGTCTCTAGAGAAACGGTCCTTGTTAGACCTTGCCAAGCTAGGCTACAAGTCCAGGTTGGAGGAGCGCACGACCAGTCAAGTTATTTCGTTTGTGTCTTTTAGGGATACAAGAGAGGCTAGATCCGGCGAAGTAGAGGTAAAAGAAGAATGGGCGCTAAAGCCGAGCAAAAAAGCATATCGCTTTAACCAAAACCAGAGAGATTATCTGAATGCGAAGTTTACAATTGGTCAAACCAGCGGCAGAAAACTGGACGGTGATATCGTATCTCGTGAAATGAAACGTGCACAAGGACCTGATGATGTTCGTTTGTTGAAAGTATCCGAGTTTCTTACCCCGCAGTAGCGCACTTCATATTTCTCATTCCTTGCAGCGAAGGTCCGACTGCAAACATCCGACGATGCTGAAATCCAAGCTGTAGTAGAAGAGGAAAACTTTCGCCTCGCTTGGCTCATAAAGCGCCTGTTATGCAGGCTAGAGGTATTTCTGCAAGTTCTCTGAGTTAACCAAAGAAAACTTTGTTTATCCTCGCTAAACAACACTTCTAGAGGTCTCTAGAGAAAGCGTTACGCGCGAGAATGTGGAATTTTATAACACTCCACATCGTGTATTTAGCCCTGTGGAGTGGTTCTCTTTTTCTCGCGCTCCCGGCGTGAATTAGTCATAGTTAACTCAAAGATTATTATTAGCCTCACTAGGCTTTTCAACAATTTTGAAGAGGTCTGGAAGGTTTCAAGGATGCGATAAGCACGCGCAAGTTTGAAGTTGTGTTGTGGACAAGCTCTAAATGAAACTGAGAATTTCTAGTTACCTGGCTAGCAAAAGTTGACTTTTATGCTTTTTTTTTTTTTTTTGCTGTAGAGATTGTTGCAAGGTGGGAAATTCGGGAATACCGAACTTATCGAGGAAACATTTGTGTTTGAAATATTTTGGGAAATATTATACCACTCTGAATCAAAAACTGTGATGAATGTCTTTCACAGCCAGTCAGCATATGCATATGTCCAGACCAATACAAATGTATAAATCAAATAAAGCAAGAAGGTCTGTTCTGTGGAAAGCTTATATATTTTTTTTACCAAACCAAAGGCCGAAAACAGAAGCTATTGAGTATTTCGTGACAGTTTGCTAACGTGACCTTGGCATGTAACCGATTTCCGGGTCAGTAGAGGTCATAAGACCTTGTCGTGGCTTGAAATCTTAACTAAACAAATTCAAAATCGAAGTCAACGGTTTCGAATGCATTTTAATTCTGCTTTTTTCCCCCTGAAGAAAACCATTTTACAATTGTGGCAACGGAGTTTCATTAAGCGGTGACAGTTTCACTTCGAAGTTGCGATCTCAATGATTTCGCTGGTAGCAAAGTGGCTGAACAAACGTTTTTCAGTCGTCATATAAAAAGTTATTTACGGCTCTTACCAACACGGCTGAAAGCTAGAAATAACATTTTCACTGTAAAAACATATTACAAGCAAAAGTAAGTAGTCCTTTTACACTAAACTTTGCGTTTAGTATGAATTCATTCAGCGGGCCGTCTAATTTGCATACATTTTATTAACTTAAATTCTCAAATTGCTTATTCTAGTGTCAGGGCTATATTTAATTTCCAGAGCTAAAACGTTCCCGTAATTTACTTCAATAGCCAAGGCTTTATTCTATATGGGTTTTACTAGGAAGCGGCATATACCAGAGGGCTTTTACAGCAGTTAAAGTTCGCTTTCATTTTCTAACATTTCAAGAGACACAAATATGACCTTTTTAAACTTGTCGATTGTAAATGTTTAAAACTTATTTCTTCAAATTTTCTTTTAGGGCTTAAAAGATTAAGAACGAAATAATACTCGGCTGAAGTTTGGGTGTTAGAGATCGTTTCTTATGCGTTCACCGTTTTCTCGAAGTTACGGTCGGATTCTGTTGTTTTTAAGCGCGAAAAAACAACAATAAATCGATATTTCAAACGTTTTGTTATTTCTCCCTCACAATGAATCGCTTGAACCCATAACTATTTTTTCTTGAATTAGGTCACTAAAAGGGATGTTTTGACAAAAGAAAAAAAATTCAATTTTTTTACGAGTGTCTTGCGATTTTCAATTTTCTCGGAAAATGGCTCTTAAAATACGCTTCTTGCATAATAATGGTACGCATCACTAGTCGCAGTTAAAGTTACACTAGTTAAAGTTACTTCACTTCATTCAAAATGAATTTATAAGGGTGTATTTAACTCGCATTTAAGCGCAAAAAGCCGCCATTTGAAAACCTACCAAAAGCACCTGAGTGGAAGGTGCTGAGAGCATTTTACTGCCAGCTTTATACTTTACCTTGATGTCGTCGTCACTTACAAAATACGAAGCTTCTCAGGTTTATCTTAATTTCTCTTCCGTCCGAAATAAGTATCTATGTCGAGGAAATGGGTAAGCAAACTGTGCTTAGAATGTCGTGCTGTTCTAATCAGTTTACTTTTTGCGGGTGCAGCACCATTCGTTTTTCCAAGATTTAGAGGTAGCACCACTTAAAATCAATCTTCCTATATTTTATTTTATTCTCTATATTTTATTCATATTTTACTTATTTCGCAAAGAGTAAGCACCATCCCTTATTTCAACTCCTTCAAGTCAATTGTATTCAGTAGAAAATGACAACATCAGCCACTCTTGATAGTAGTCCTCTAGATGAAGTGGTGTTAATTTTCACTCCTGATTCGCTTTCTGCACAAAGAGTTGCGAGAGATAAGAGTGGAGGCACAACAATGACAATCCTTCACCTTAACTCCCATTGAAGACGAAATCAAGATTTCAGTGAAATGTAAGTACAACATTTTTCCTTAATTTCTCTTACTTACTTTCTCTTACTTCTCTTGCGAGGTATAGGACAGGAGGCACAACTCAGGTGGCTAATGATTCCAACATCGATTCGTTGTGACAATAAATTAACAACAATAATCCTTGAACTTAATTCCTATTGAAGACGAAATCAAGATTTCAATGAAATGTATGTTCAACGTTTTTCGTTGTTTTCTCTTTACTATAATAATAATAAAAATCGTAATGATAATGATTTGGGAAATAATCTTCGCAAAAATTCATTGTATGGGAGTTGGATCCATAACCTCTTCGATACCGGTGCAGTGCTCTACACTGTAAGATGAAAAGAGCTGATTTGGCCCAAAAAATTAGGCTAAAACGGATGAGTTAAGTTTGCTATTGGCCAGGGGTCGAATCAGCCTCACAGAAAGGGAGTTGTTTCTAACACCAATATTTGGGGCCTAATCGAACCAATTGCAAGGGTCAAATTGGATCATTTGAAGGGCTTAAGTGCGGTGTAAAACGCACTAGTGACGTCATGGATAGTCTCTCGAATAACAGCTAGTCTTGTAGCTCTCAGAGTCGGTTGGTCTTTGGGTCCTGGGCTCTTTGGGTCTCAAGGGAACGAAAGCACACTGTCGCTATACGAGAGCGTAATCCAAAGAAGAACTTTTTTGACAAATTGCTTAGAAAAAAATTAACCACTGTTAATGATGTCACTTAAATCTACCATGATAAACAGTAACATGTATTTTTCATCCTCGGTGATACGAAGTTTAACTTTTAACTAATAAATCATCAGCAGCTGAACAGAAAAAAACACGGAAAAGTTCCACTGCATATTAAGAAACGAGCAAAAGTAGCAGCGCTGGGAATAGCTAAGCACTGAACAAAAATGGGTGGGTTTAGGGTGAGGGTTAAGGTTAGGGTTGGGTTTTAGGGATTAGTATATCTGTAAAAATTACTTTCTTCATAGTAGGAAAAAAGATAAACAGTTCAGGGTGCCTCAAAATCTTTCATTGTTTGGTTTTTGAAGATTGCCTTGAAAACTTCGTTTTCTTTCTGAATCCGTGACAACTTCCTCTGAATTTCACCCGAGCTTCGTTCTCTAGGAATAATGGGAAGTACGGAGGAGTTTTCTGTCGGAGAAAAAGTGAAGGAGCAAGTGGAATATTTTTTGACAACGTTGTTGTACATTTTTTCTAAGCGAGAGGCATCTAGGGTGCCCACGGTGGTTAGGTGGTCCGCGCATTCCTTGAAAAGCAGCTGTTCAGTTATTGACCATGGTGATAAAATGCTTCTTTCACCTCTGCTTTCCATAAACTCTTGTCCGGTACCTGTGAGAATTCCTTGCGCTCATGTTTCCTATATACGTTTTCTGGAAACGGGTTCAGATGCCACTGACTGCTTCATGATCCGCTGACCATAGGGATTGTCACAATTCAAGCAACCACATGCACTAGTACAACCCTTGACACTTTGAAAACACTTACAACCGTTCTTATAAATGCGACAGAACTTTCGTTATCCTTTATTCTTTGCATCACCTCTTCCACATCTACAACCAACAACGGATATGACGTTGTGTCTCCTCTGTCTGCAACTTTTCTTCGACCGGATACAGAGTTATCGGCGTCGTAGCAACCGTTGGAGGGAAAGGATCAGGGTCCTGAAGTGCTTTAACTGTGGCAACGTTATTCCCTGCGCCTACTCTTTGATATGCTATATACAAAGGGACACTGGTCACATTTTTCCTCGGAATAACAAGAATGACAGGAAAATACTCGGTAGAGGATATTATAATTAATGGGACTTGGAGGACGTTTGCTATGGCAAGAGGGCGGTGTTGCCCAGTTCACAGTCAAAAAATCCTCTCTCGGCAAACTTGTTAGCCATATTGTCGCACTGCTGACGTAGCGATATTTCTAGGTGGAAGGCATATTCATTTCCATGGGCATCTAAAAATTATTTGCCTGTAAGTTGTCTTAACTGTTATGCAGTTTTTTTGAGTTTTGAATGGTCAGCTTCGATTTCCAAATGACACAGATGTTGTCCTAGTGGCGAGTCTTTATCGTCCATGAAGTATCGCGTTGTTAATTGAAAAGCAACAGTTTGGGAATTTTAAAGACTATTCTCTGTACAGCGTGGAAAGGGTCTTATCTGACACACTTCATCTCCAAATATATTTTGCAGTAATTTTCCCCATTAACAGCAGTTATCTATACAAATCTATTGCACTTTGACCGCCACAGTTGCAGTCCAATCTCCTCTTCAGGTTATGAATCATGTTCTTTACTCTTTCAAACGAGGCACCTCTCGTGTGAGTCATACTGCTCTACTCAAACTCCTTGATTCCATGGGCCAATGTTCGCAGACACTTTAAATGTGTGATCGGTTGATATCCAAACACATGGTAGTTGAGACATACGTTGAGAGTACATGTGTTCCCTCTCGAAATACGAACGGAGAAAAGAGTTTGTGAGTTTTTGAGTTTGTGATTACTCTCCTCCCTGGGGATGTCACTCGCCATTGTATCATATCCACTACCTTGCCATTGGTGGTACTTTCAAACGTATACTTTCCAGCAAGCCAAGGTGGATTTAGCAAGTGCTCAAGTTTTCAAATTAGTCACCTAGTTCTTAGTTGGATTTCAATCCTTTTTGAGGCTATCTTTAGCTTGATCATCCTGTTACATGTGAAAACATCAAATGTTACTCACATATTCAAATGATTACCTGAATCAAAAGTTATAATTTTTTTTAATAACCCGCTACCTTTAATTGTGCTCCAGAAATAGTAAATGTATTTTCCGCTGGTATGAAGTTGATGCAGTTCGTTAGCACTTTATGTTTTTTCGTTTTTGTTGGAACACGCCGTTAGGGCGTGTCTCCAGGGGTTTTTGTGATTGGTTGATGTGTAGTATTTTAGGCTTCAAAGAGTTGACAGATTCCTCTCGCTCGCGCTCTCCATCCTGTTGTTTACTTCTTTTCCCACCCACCCACCCCCCCGCTCTGGATTTTTTCGTACAAAACTTGGAGGGCGAAAATTGCCTGGTTGTTCCCCCTGTGAGCCTTATTGCTAGAGCAATTCATTACTTGCACGTTTCCAGGGCTGTTGCCACTTTAGTTGTGCCCTTTTGGCCGTTTTCATATTTCTGGCCTATCATTTCTAGAAAATTTTCTAGATTTGTAGTGGATTATAAGTGTTTTGAGGCTACTGCTTTAGAGCAAGGGTGGAATATAAATTCGTTTTTGGATAGTGACAGGTTCACTGGTTTCATCCTAGCCGTTCGTATGAAGTTTTCTTAAGTTTCTACGGCTTTATTTACATGGGATGTTTAACCATTAAAATTTCAGTGGATAAAAGGCGCAGGCCTGGGCCGATATTATTACCATGTTTTGTAGTTAAGAGGCACTGGCCATGGTTGATATTGTTACAATATTTTTGTAGATAAGAGGCACTGGCCTGGGCCGATATTATTACCATGTTTTGTAGTTAAGAGGCACTGGCCCGAGTTGGTATTATTACAATGTTTTTGTGGATAACAGGCACTAGCCTGGGTTGGTATTATTACTATGTTTTTGCGGAGGCGCTTGTCGTTATTCTCTGTTGTTGTGGAAGTGTCTTTGCAGCATGCGACTGTTTTGGCGGTTTCATAATTTGCGTTATTTCTTTTGTTTTTCTCGTTACAGATGTTTGCCTCAGAAGATGTTTGGAGTTGCATCCCGGTTGGTGTAAAGCCTAACCTAGGAGAGTTTATCTCGACATTATTGAAGTCTAAAGTGGATTCTACATCGAGGAGATATAAGAAAGAGATTTCGAAGTTTATTGAATTTTGTAATTCCTCCAACGTTCAGCCAGTGCCTCCCTTTCCTGTTACGTTTATAGTTGTTTATCTATTTAAGGTTTATCAGAGTTCTAACTCTTATGCTTCTCTAGTTATGGCTCACGCAGCTCTTAAGTGGTTTCACTCGTTCGGTTTAAGTAACGGCGCTAATCCACTGGATAGTTCGATCTGTCATAATTTACTGGAGGCTGCTAGGCGTAATAAGCCAGTTACTGTTAAAAAGGCGCCTATCTCCGCTGAAATTATTAAGGATATTATTGATAAGTTCGCTGGATCTTCTGCTAATCTTAAGGACATACGAGTTGCTTGTATCTGCTCGTTAGGCTTTGCGGGGTTTTTTCGTTATGATGAGCTTAGTAACATTGCGTCCATGCATCTTGAATTTTTTCCTGATCATCTTAGAGTGTTTGTTCCCAGGGCTAAAAATGACATTTATCGTGAAGGTAATTATGTCTATATTAAGAGGTTAGCTAACAAGTATTGCCCTGTTGCACTTTTAGAAAGGTATATTTCCATGTGTAACATTGAACTTTCAAGTTCAGTTGCTCTCTTCCGTCCAATAAGGTTATTTAAGTCTACCAACACTTACAAGTTATACGGAGGTAAATTATCATATACCAGATGTAGGGAAATCTTTAAAGAATGCCTTAAAGAAATAGGGGTGGATCATAAGTTGTACGGGCTTCATAGTTTAAGGGCTGGTGGAGCTACCTCTGCTGTTAGTTATAACCCTAGTCTTTCGGAGAGGGTACTTAAACTGCATGGTCGGTGGAAGTCCGATACTGCGAAGGATATGTACATTCAAGAAGATATTTCTAAGCGTTTACAACTAACTTCTCAGCTTGGTTTGTAAATTTACATTTATTTAGTGATATTCAGCTTAGTTACACTGTTATGACTGCTTGTGTGAAGCTTGAATAAACGTCAGTTGTTGGACTGCCTGAGCATCCAACCATCAATTTGTTGTATTTGTTCATCTATTCATTTAAGAGGAAAATAATTTTTTCGTTTGAGCGTAGCGAATAAGAACGTAAATGTTATTGAAGAGAAAGGAAGAGAGTTCTTGAAACATTCTATGTTAAATGAAACCTTGTTATGAATATTTATTGTGATTGCAACAAAAACATCTGTGAAGCTATTAATAACAATTACCTTTCCAGGTAAACAAACCATAATGAAGCATGATATGAATAAATTTAATCTCACCCAGTTTGAATGTAGAATCCAAAGTCTAATTAACTTACTGGTGAGTAGGAAAAAGCTCAATGTGTTTTTCCTACTTCCGTCATTCTAGATGAGTGACTTTGTTAATGATGTGTATTTTTTCCTATGGACAGCTATTTTAAGTATCTTTCTTTTACCAGCTGACATCTGAGAAGAATGATGTCCACACTAGCAATTTGACACGTTGCAAGCAAACCCTACAACTGATTAACCCTTTAACTCCCAAGAGTGACCAAGGCAAAATGTCTCTTAACAATATCAATACAATATCAATCAGATAAGTGATGAGAATAAAGAAAAATTTAAATTTGAGGATAATTAGTTGATCCAATACTTAATTCTTAGAACTAACATTATAAGAATTGTACAGTTGACAGTAAGGAGAATTGGGAGTTAAAGGGTTAAATTTCATTTGATCAAAAACATGAACAGCAATAGAGGAAATTAGCACAATTCAAGTTTCCCCTCTTAAGTATTCTATGATGTTTTCTCTATCACATGGTAAAGTTTACAGTTTCCCTCATTTCACTGTCTTCTGTTCACTTGTTTGTTTGCTTTCCTAACAATCTTAGCTATTGTTGCCTACAAATGCAAGGAGCATATACATGAAAATGTGTACAGTTTAGAACACTTTAATCCCTGAGTGACTAGCATCTAAGTTCTCCTTTCAATATCATCCCTAAATCAAACATTTAGTTATGAGAATAAAGGATTAAAACATTAAAAAGCATTAAGGTCATGAGAGTAAGGGAAATGATAATCAACTGAAGAACCTCTTGATTGTTACACAAATTCTCCTTGCCAGCACATTAGGAAATATATAGAGAACAGTATAGAGAATATGCCTTCTGATATTGGGCTGTAAAGGGTGAAAGACATCGTGTAATCAGTTATATATGTAGAGTACTGCTTGAATATATGATTGCATTAAGTACAAATGCCAAGTAAACACCATTTTATGGTCTTCTACATCACATAAATTGTATAGCAGACAGTAAGGAGGCTTACTCATGAAATTTTAGGAGTTAAAGGGCGAAGACACATGGTAATCATGTGTACCAGAAAGACAGCAAATAAATATAACATTATACTCCAGTAAAGTGTTCTTATGTAGAATGAAGTTTCAAACTCATTGAAATTAAGTTGACTTAATAATTCATACTTTAATTAAAGAAATGTGCAATATTTTTTTACAAGGATGAAAAGGGAATGCCATTTATAAATTTTAAAATAGTAAACGTCAAAAACATAAAGATGCAATTTAAAAAACTACTAAAATATGGCATATCTATTCACTGAGGTTTTAATCATTAGCTGTCACACAGAGATGAAAACGCGGGTGGCAAATTATTTGCTCACGCGGCTGCACAGCTACTAGCCCACGTGAAGCCCTCGTGCTATGCCTAACCGTGTGCCCGCAGTACTCTACAATGCAGCTCAACGCACGAGTATGTGCACTTTATCGTCATCTGACGGTGTCTCCTAGCGCACACTAATGGGTATCCAAGTTACGCACGCAATCGCGCCCGCGCATTACCTTCTCCCTCGCCCTACCATTACGCAATGGCTAAGATAGTGCCTGTGGTACAATTGGCCGTGCATGCTAAAAGTAGCACCTTTTACGGACGGTCGTTCGGTCGGACGGTCGTACAACCAAATTTTTTCGGCTTGATGGGTTATTACTATTTCGTATAATTATAGGGTTACGCTGCGCGCGCTTCGCGCGTTGCGAGCTTCGCTATCATATATATAACAAAAAAAGGCTTGGACTCAAGTGAGAGTTTTGTTTTTGTTGTTCACTTGTATATTGAAAAAGAAGTTTGGAGAGAAAGTTGGTTTGCGCAGCAAATCACACAAGCATGTAACAAACAGATTGATACCATATCCGCAAACAATACATGTTCATATTTGCTTGGTTACGCATTTACTTATTAACATTCTTTTTAATCTTTAATCCAAGAAAAGAAAATCTTTGGAACGAAGGAACATGATATATTTAAAATTGACCTTTTAATGCACTTGGTTAAGGTTGATTCGCTTCTCCATGTCTTTGAAAAGTTCTGCGTTTAAACTGGGCCGGAGTTCGAAATCAAAGTAAAACCGTTTTCTAGTTTACAAGCGAACTCAGTTCATGTTCAGATCATGAATCATCTTTCCTTTCGAAACGTAGTAATACTGCATACACAGGGAGATTTTATTTGGAAAACTTTGCTAAATCCTAATGGGAGCTGAGATCGATTTTGTTCCATTCCAAGGCTATAGTAAACAAGCTTTATTTGGAGATTGTTAATGAATAATTCAACGCTGCGGCCAAATTAATTCAAAGATGGTATAGTTTCACGTAATTCAGCTCAAACCCCTCTGGTTAATGGAGAGTAAGCAAAACATTTGCTGGGCACGTATAATATTCTAATAGAACTAGGTGGCACAAGCTTACTTGTAACATAAGTTGAACTGTGAACTTATACAATTTAGCTGAATTTAGACACGTACTTACCTGGCTCTCGACTATCCTATTGTGCAAAATGTAGCAACCGGTATCATTTCAGAAGCATAGATGTGTCAGCATGTCACAGACATGGATTGTTCATGCGATGTATTCCATTGCAATGTCAAGCAACTTCCCAAACGATTGCCATTCTCCACCAACGCCTACCATCATGGCTGCAGGCGGACCCCTGGTTTCTTTGCAAGGCTGTCACATCAAGTTGGCTCACGCTATGCTTGTTAAAAATTAAAAGGAAAAAATTCATTAAAGGGAAAAGAAGGTATGACTAAAGGTGTGCATGAAACCCGTCAATCGAAGATGTAAATTAAAACCTTCATGGCATCGACTCGGGAAACGTTTATAGTCAATTTCGTTTAAAATTGCGTGATATTTCCAAAAAGTTTCGTTTTTTATCAAACTTTGCCCATTATTATGGTTTTATTCGTTTGAAGACCATGGCTCTATTATCCGTTATCCTCCAGGACCTTTTCGTTGGATGGTTCAATCTCGAGCCCAGGGTCATTATGGCTATAAAAAGCAGAAAAGAAAATATGTAAGAAAATCGCGAAGAAAAAGGTTCTGTATCTGAAATGACAGAAATGAGGTCTGTCGCCATTCAAAGCCCTTTTAAGTCCATAGCGTCACTATCTGCTTTGCCGCAAGAAAACTGTTCAAAAGATCCATTATACCCATGTCTCGGGTACTCCGAGAAGACACTTCAGATGTAAACCCAGAGGTTTTCTTTTCACTATTATAGCTTTCGACACATTAAATCCTACATTTTCACCGCCTATACTTTAACTTCAATTGGCAGAGAACTTTAATTTCAAAGTGAGCGCAATGGTCTGCTCTCTTTTTTTTATGATCTTTAAAATACAAATAAGATAATCATTGACCCAAAACCACAACATTGCTATGCATCTATAAGAGATCGATTACTTGATAAATACAATATCATGGCTGTTACTTTACCTCTCATCCAACTTGAAGCCTTCAAAAGCTTCATTCCCTTTTAGTGATTTGTACATCTTTCGGAAGTCTTGCTGTAATGAATTAGAAAAAAATGAGGCTGCCACACTACTTCACTTCTCACCTTTCCTCAGAACACAAAAAGTTATTAACAGAGCTCCGCAGTTTTCCCCTTTTTTACAGTGTTCACAACTCCACACGATGTTTCAATTTCAACGATGATTGAATGTTTCTGGCAATTTCCCTACACCTCAGAAACGTAAAACGACTGATTGTGGAAAAAAAATAACAGACAAAAATGATTAGAGGAGCAAAGCAAATATTATCTTAATTCAGGTACAAATACCATTTGTTTCAAAATGACAGAAATGAAGTCACTTGCATGCACTGCTCTTTCGTATGCCGTCAACAAGCCATTGAAAACTTCTTGAATACACTTACCCGGCATTGTTGCGGGATTGGGATCTTCCGTGTTTTTTTTTCTGCTCGCTCTTTCAGGTCCTGAGTTAGAGCTACTCGCCATTTTGGATGTCAATTCCTGTATCATCTTTCGCTGCTCGCTACCTCGCGTTTCGATCACTTCTCTCGAGCGTATATTTTCTGCAATAACCTTTTCAAGCCATTTTCAATATTGGTCGTCCATTTTGCTGATAGAAGAGGTCAGGAATGAGGTCACTGCAAGAAATTCAACTTTTTCACAGCGACACAGCCACCTACAGCATTCACGGGGAAAAGGATGCGCAACGCCGTTAGAAATCACCGAAAAAGCGTACCGCCGAAGTTCCCGCCATAAGAGAAGTTTCTGATAGGCTTTTTTTGCTAGCTAGCACGTAATTGGGTACAGCTAAGACAAAGAAATCTAGATGGCGGCAGGAACAACAATTAGACTGTAATTTAGCTTGTTTAAGCTGCAAAGATGTCTTCCCGCTTGCGAAAACAAAGTAGACTGTTGTGTGGGCACTGCGATGAATATTTATCTAGGGCAGCTTTCTGGTAACATCGCAAGGCTTATTACGATGTGCATAGGGAACGCTGGATAACTAAAACTGACGTTGAGCATTTGGAACACAGGGCAAAGAGACCGAAGCCATGTCAGGATCATGAGTCGCGCGGAGAAATGTGGGCATCGGGTTCTTCTGGCGATGAGGATCTTGAGGCAGTTAAATCTACTCAAGGTATGTTATAGAGTAATTTTAATCAATAGATAATACGGAATAGAGTCCTAAGCATCTGAGGAAGCAGTGTCGTGCCAGCATTTCTCTGCGCGGTAGATAAATGACCATTTGTGATTGCGCGCTCGTTCGACATGAAATCACACGTATGATTTCAGACCTTATAAGATACATGAAAAAATTAATCAGTTCAGTTTGGTTAAGATGGATGCAGTTTTCAGGTTGATCAATGAAGAGGGTTACCCTGTGAGCTGGGTAACTGGGATACCCGGATGGTATTGGATCCTTGGAATCAAGTGTAGTGATTCTACGGGTGTCGGACTAGTATACTAAAATAGTGCGCTCAAGTCTGGCCAAGGGCATACACCTATTTCAACACATAGGCATGCTATGCATGCAAGAGTTTTTTTTTTGGAGGGTGGGTGGATTACTTGAAACATTGTGAGTGATGTCTACATTCTTACAAAAGGAGAGAAGAATATTAATGCGGGAAAGAACGAAAATGTCGAATTACCTCACTCACAGGTATTTTGTGGTAGATTATGTGTGTCAACAATATCAATAACTAGTCAGCGGCCACCTTCCAAAAGTCACCAGTCCTCGATGAGTTCTACAAGTGATACTGGACGGCGGTTACCTTGTTTTGGCAGCTGTCAATTTACCACAATTGATGTAAGTTGACGTTAACCTGAATCCTTAATTTTAAATTAAGGCCAATTAATTTTGGAGTATAAAGTTCAGGTTAACGTCAACTTACATCGCATAGAACTCATCGACTTCACACAATTTTTGGATGACGACCGCTGACCGCTCAAGTACTCAGAAGTCCACAAAGTTAACAGCTGTGTCTACTCGTCGCTGACAGGCACTCTCGGAAATGAAATCAATGTTATTTGTATAGTAAGGGCCTTTTAGTCTTGGGAATGGTCTGATATGATATCAAGTTATCTATGGCTGTAAATGTGCGAGGGTCTTTGCGAAAATACGACGATGAAGTCGGCTTTTAGGCGTTCCCGTGGCGCGGAAGAAAGAATTCTTTACTTTTTCCACTTGCCCATTTGTACAGAACAAGGTAAAAGGGTTTGAGTTCCTTGTCTGTTGTGGCCTTGAAAGTAGCAATTGTCCGTGAAAATTCGGGATTGAACTTGCTGGTCTTGTAATACCTTGTCAGTTCGTAAATCTTATTTTCAGGGATATACTCCTTTCTATAGCCTTCGGAGGTTTTGACGTTTGTATAAAATGCGCCGTTCTCATTTTTGTGGATTGTTGAAAATCAAAACACATGTTCAATAAAATTGGTAGAGGGCGATCAGAATAATTCAGCTTGGTTGACAACATTGAGTGCGGGTACTGATAAGATGTTTGGCAAAAGTAAAATCAATTTATGGATATTTCAGTAAGCAATAGTATCGTTCCAAGAAAAGGGTCAACAGTCAACGAACAACGCAACCCTCTGCCCCACTCTCTAGGCGTGGAGTGAGGTCGTATCATTAAGGTGCGGGATTTCAGAAAACCACTCACTACTCATTTGCATAAGATAAAATAGCTACAGAATAACAAAACAGCGTATATGTTACAAGCCTCGTTCTTTCCTTTATTAAATCAATTTTCCGTAATCCCGCGCCTAGTTTTCCCGTCCCGTTTTCGCGATCCAGGATGGTAAAGATATCGTCTACTGAGCGTTTCCAGATCCTAGGCTCGCGGGATGATGTAGTTATCGCCTCTTCTTCGAAACTCTCCATGTAGAGGTTAGCAATAACAGTGGAAACCGGACTCCCCATGGCGGCGCCGTCTTTTTGTTCGTAAATCGATCCGTTATACTGGAAGTATGTGGATCTCAATACGAAGGTCAAAAGGTAAGCGATCTGTGCAGGCGTCAGCGTGGTGCAGTCTGCAAGGCTTGGGTCGTTCTCGAGTTTCTGCGGTGCGGCTTGTACAGCGGCGTCGATAGGAACGTTGGTAAACAGTGATTCTACGGCGAAAGATACCATGATCTCGTTGTCTAGGATCGTCGCATTTCTGACAGTGGATACGAAGTAGGCTGAATTGGTCACCGTTTACTCTGACTTTCCTGTTAAAGGAGACAAGATGTTGGCTAAATAAGCGGATAAATCATAAGCAAACGTGTTTAAGCACGACACAATAGGTCTTAGCGGTACATCGGCCTTATGGATCCTCGGTAAACCGTAGATTCTAGGCGGCTGTTTATGTCGAGGTCTAATCTTGTTGTAAACGGCCTCTGATAGAGATCCGGTTCGCTTCAAGGTAAGCAGCTTTTCCGACAACTTGCGGGTAAGACGGTCTGTCGGGTCTTTGTTGAGGAGTTGGTACGGTCCGTTCTCAATAAGCGTAGACACCTTAGCTCGGTAGGTGTCGGTATCCATGACCACGTTAGCGTGCCCTTTGTCTGCTGGGAGAAACATGATAGACTTGTCTTCTCTCAGGCTTTTAAGTGCATCTCGCATCTCCTTCGTGATGTTAAGCTCTGGTGGTTCTGCCTGTTGAAGGATACCGTTTACAGCTCTTCTGACTGTATCTGCTTGTATTTCGCAGGAGTTACGGCGAAGTTCAGTCCTTTCTTCAGTAGGGCTTTATCGGCATCGCTAAGGGACCTAGAAGATAATTTTTTTTTTTTTTAATAAAAATCTCAGATTGCCATGCATTTAGTCTTTGGGAAACCGTGGTCGTGAGTCGAGCAACAAAATATGTGAAATGTCAAGAATAAGACGATTTCATATATAATAGACCCAAACTTGCAGAAATGGTTAGCCGCAAAGTCACCTTCTTGCTTGATGATTTTAGAACAGTCATGTGATACATTCAGGCAAAGCCCTAAATCAACATTTGAAATTATTCTCTACACAAAACATTCCTTCGGGGTCCTCTTGAAATAAAGCCATCAATAAGTCGACAAAGCCGCCTCGCAAGACCAACCTGGACGAAGAAGGTCGCGATGTGATCGAGCGCTGATGTGTTGTCTCCAACGAGTGATGATGGTAGACGTAACCTCGTGCTCTATGCCAATTGTCTGGACAGTAATATGATATCCCCATATCTGCATTTCTCGAAAAAGGGGGTACTGGGATGAGGGTTGTTCGGAAAACTAAGACCCCCAAAACTTACACTTTATACCCAAAAACCTAAGACCTAAGGTCTGACCTAATGCTTGCGACCCGAAACGAAGAACTAAAAACTCATTCCCCCTTATTTTATTTATTTTTACAGCCGTGTGAAACATACGGCTCCATTTCTGTGTTCTGTCGGCGGGATGCCACTTTGTCACCGGAAGAGAATGGAACGTGTGTAACAATAGGGAAATCAAAAGCAATCAATGCCAAGTATACCCTGGGTGCCAAAGTCTTTTTCACAGCGCGGGGGATACTGCACTTCGGCAGCCGAAGGCCGATACTTCAAGCGGTGTAAACCGCTAGCTAGAAAACCTCCGTTCCTGTTGAGCTTTAACCTTTTTTATTGAAGTACATTTGAACCAATCACACTGTGATCATATGCACTGGCACTTGAACAGACGACAGATTGCAAGGTATTATCTATTAACACAGAGTCCAGGAATAAGGTGGAACAACAGTCGGCAACATTGCCAAGAGATCCTTGCGGAGAATAAAATTACATACGTTATCACTTTGCTCGGCACTTAAGTTTCCGACCCCGTCAAACGTTTCTAGAACCTTTTCAATACTTTCTTGGACTGCTCTCTCAAAACTTTTGGAAGCTTTGACCTCCGCCATGACGAAATCGACCATGCATGATTTGTTTATCGCCTGTCAACTAACAGTATTTCCCCGTGGAGTTGCTATTCTCGGCAACCAATTGCAGCGTCTGTTTTACGAAAAATTGTAGTGCGTGACAGCATGACCCTTTAAAAGCTTCGCGAGAGGTCATAGTTTGTTTATTTAGTGTATTGCGTAAGCGTTTCTTAAAGTGGTATATTTTGTAATCTTTCTATAATTAGACTATTTAGAAAGTTCTAGAATTTTATTATGTAAGTATATAAGTAGGCGAGTCCAAGCGAAGTTTTAACCAGTTTTCACAAGCGAAGAGAGTTTGACTTTAGCGTATTCATTCAAGTGTGACGAAGCAGTAGTTATTGAAGTTGGCAGAGGCCGTGTGAATCTATCAAGATTAAGTGCAGTTTGGCGGAGGCCGAGTAAGTAAGAGTTTTGCTTTAATTTGTGGAAACTACGTTCATTGTCTAGAATAAATCTACTAGTTGCTGTTCCGACAACCCTGAGTTCAGTTTGGTCTGCGAGCTAACCGTCAACTAAAAGAATACCCGCGTAACAGTCTGTTACATTTAAAATCCCGTAGGTGGTCATTAGAAGCCAATCAGCTCTCTAGTCCAAAATCTGGACTAGGCCTGTCATTGGCTAAACGTCATCAGAGGAATAGGGCTCTGCTCCAGAGGCTTTTCTCGCGGGTCAAAATAAAGACTAACCGGAACCGGAAACCACGCATGAAAAGCCTCTGGCACCCAGGGTAAGCCAAGAACTAAAATCGGAACAAATTAATGCCGGCACGTCGTAGGTTCCGAGAGCTGACGGACTCGATCTTTTTCGCGTTTGGGACCCGTAAAGATGCTGTCTGTAAGCGCAGTAATTTTAGGGAATTTGTAAACTACATGCATCTCGCGAGATTTGCAAGTTCTGTTTATCGTCGTTTCAAATGTTAATGTCCTTTTAGGGGTTTCCTGTTCTTAGTCGATTTCTTTTTTTTCTCTGAATAATACTAACTTATTATAAAACAGTTTTGTTTTCTTTGTTGTACGCTCGCTAATATAACATCATCTCTGATGTTATATTACGCAACCTCATCAAGTTTCCGGCTACCTGTTTGGTGTCCCGTTGACCTCTGTAAGGGCCTGTTTACATGGAGGTGGGGGACCCCAGGTAGGTGAGGTAACCCGCCTGTCCATATAACTTCTTATTTTATCTTGACCACGTTTACATGATAAGTGGAGTGATCCACCCACGCGGGTTGCCTGGTCTGCCAGGTAGGGTAACCCTGTCAGCCGGGGTGACAATTTGCCATGTAAACGTCTCAAGGTGGGGTAACCCGCCTGTCCATATAATTTCTTATTTTATTTTGATCACGTTTACATGATAGGTGGGATGACCCGCCTAGGCGGGTTGCCCGGTCTGCCAGTTAGGGTAACCTTATCAGCCGGGTGAAGACGTTGAAAAAAGCAGACCTTGAACACTTGGTGCGAACGCCATCGTGCTAGCATTCATGCAGCTTGCAGTTCTACGAATGTCTTCCCCTAAAACGAATGTAGATTTTTTTGTATTAGAATGATGTTACCATAGAGATCGTCAACCATTCTTTTTGCTTGTTGCTCACTTCTTTAGCCAGTCGCCAAGGTTTAAGGTAAACCCCTTTATGAATTGCACATTTCAATTTAAGTTTGAACTGTTCGCATGGGGTACAAATTAATATTTTTTGCAATAGGGTTAGTAAATTTTCTTTTTTCAGGTTTGTTTAAACATAACGGAGGATATACTATTCCTGTAAATTTTCTCTTGGATTGTTATCAAACTCTGCGACAAGACTGTTAATGTGACTGTACCTCCCCTTCGAGTAGATTTATCGCAGTAGTTGAACCATCTACAGAAAACAGGGCAAGTATACTGAACAGCAACGTACTATAGCCTCTTGACAACATATTTTGACCTATCAGAAAAAAAAATTACAATAGTCGATTTTAGCGCCTCATAGTTCTGGTGCTACACCACCTCCGCCCCACATTCGGGGCATGCCTTCCTCCGCCCTCCCAAGTGCAAAGAACATAACACCTCATGAGAACAAAACACCTTCTCGTAGTCTACCTCAAGTTTTCTCGATCTTCTCGTAACCTTACTCAAATTTCGTTCAAGAAATTATGTTTTTTATTTATGTTATTCGAGCTTTCTATCTTCGAAAAAATGTAACTGCGGTGACTATTCCTCCATTTGATTGACGAAGACCGCTACTTAGGAGTGATATTGAAATATTTTCATTACATTGACATTATTATTATTAACACTGTTAAGGAATATTTGGATATCTTAGAGCGGTTGGCATTTGTCGGAAACGAACGGCCAAACCGGTCGATTTATTGGTGAATACGCATCTAAATCTTTGTTTTTTGGAATATTTACCCATATTTACCATGTTACGGGAAAATTGACTGATTTTTCCGTGTGTTTGGTTGGAGCATATTTATTCGTAAAATTTTCACATTTAACCATTTCCAATTTATTCGAGTTCATTCAAGTTCGTCCATTTTCGTAAATCAAAAAAATGTATAAAATGTATAAATATATGTTTACTCGCTTTCATTATATGCATCTGCTTTTCGACACTTGTTATTTATTACATGGTTTTTATAGGTAAATATAAGTGTTCATGGTCTTTCTGGAAAAATTGGTTTTCATGGTAGTTAGCAGCTGAGTTTATACTCGTAACTTTAATTTCTTTTCATACGATAGTTTCCCACACCAACCTTGCATAGATAAGCAGAAACTTTAAATCACTTTTCCACTTTTATTTGCTAAGCTGCGCTACTGCAATTAAGATAGGTATATTTTCAATATCAGAGTTGTGAATTCTCACCTAAGTTTCCTATTTTTAATAGCCTCGAGTTTATTGCATCCCTCTTTAATTTTGAGATTCTTTCCGTCGTAGGAACAGATGGAATATTTAAGTAGCTTTCATTAACTTCAAAGAGACTTTTTTCCGCTCCTTTGTGGCCTTATTCAAATATTGTGATTTGTGTAACAATGGAACCTCACACTAGTTCATATTTAAGAAAGTACTTTGTAAAGCTTTTTCGATTACATCCACGACGGCGTGCCGACGGCAAGAAGTGCGGGAAATCAAATTGCATCAATTTTCTAGAGAGAAATTTTCCTGATTCCCTCTATCTTGATGAATTGATATCAGCTTCTTCGTATATCTGCGAACCATGTCATCTAAAAACATCTCTGATAATTTTACCTCTATGCTCGATGTAAAATCAGCCGAGAAGCTACTGCACGAACACGAGGTGGAAGCAACAACTAGCTTTGTTATGTATTAAAGCTACGGTGTTGGCAAGGGTAAGACTAAAGTCAGAGGGTCGCCTTAGATGAACTCTGGTTACAAGAGGTAATGTAAAGTGGAGGGATGCAGGGTGTAGGGGTCATGGGGAGACCAAGAAGGGAGGGGGGATCCAAAACTTCGTATTGTAGCATTCCATAAAAATTGCAAATTAAATCTTCTCTTTATTTTGATTTTGAAAGACGGGTGCGTTATTCACTTACTTTCTTTGTTTGTTTTTCTTTTTGTTTTTTGTTTTGCCAAAACTGGAAAAATTGGAATGGAATAAAAAATTAAAGCGCTACAGAACTGCAATAACTAAAATGTGGTGGCTAGCCGGAAGAAAGGGGGGTTTATATGTGGTTTTCGATACCCTATGTCAGATGCGATTTAAAAAGTCAATACCTACAGCCCATGCCTCCCGCGCGGACCTATTGCCTAACTAACTGACTGACCAGCAAATTAATATTCCGGTCCGATCTAGACATGATTTCTTACAATATGCTTTAATATACATACGGTAAGATTTTTAATCGCTAATTAACGGCCTAATTCCTTACAGTTAGTATGTTTGAATACATCTTTATGACATAAAGTGTTATATCTATATCGACGCAGATAATGGCGTACAATCATGCAATATTGAAGAAATGTAAAATGGTTTCCGTTTTTACATAGCCTGATGTAAACACACGGGAGTTTGAGAGAACACGAGATAAGCGTAGGAAACCACGACGCGAAGCGGAGTGGTTTCCAGCTTATCGAGTGTTCTCCCAACCTCCCAAGTGTTTACATCAGGCTATGTAAAAACGGAAACCATTTTACATATCTTTTATAAAATAACTAATGAAAGAGGAACGAAAACCGTGCTTACATACGCCAATCAGAGCGCGCGTACTATTTGAATTATTTTATAAATAGGCTTAGATATTAGGACTAAACCACCGTGCACTCTACTTCTGTTTTGATAAATGTGAAGCATAAATATCGAGGTTTACCGTAACATTGTTCTTTTTTCGGCGTCGACAGAACCTGGATCGGAACAAATCGGATCACAGACTTGATCACGGATCAGATTACGTATCGGATCACGGACCGAAAAAACTTTAAAAAATTAAATCGTTTATAACTAATAATACATAAAAAATAAGAGTTAAAAAGTTGAAATATGTTAATTAAAATTATAAATGTTGCGTGGCAGGCCAAAATAAAGTCTTCGTAATATGGTAAAGCGCGGGCCTCAATGGAAGTTTTTTTTCCCGCAAAACCCATGTAGTCCCTTAAACGACTGTGTTGGTGATTGTTGTGTAGTGCCGCCATGGACGAAGGCAAGCAAGAGGTTCGTATCATTTCATAAGTCAGTTATTCCTATTTTTTAAGATCGTCTCACCTGCTACTTTTCCCTTATTCAATATTATTTAGCACACGCAGGAGAAGAGGCGAGGTGAGGAGTAAGACTGTTTTAGATATGACTATTAAAGTGCACATAAGCGATTTAGGTGGTCAATGTCTTACATTTTTTTTAACCTTTTTTTTAATTTCTTAAAACTTAACCTAGTGAGCAGCAATCTGCGAACAGTAGTTAAAACTTGAGAAAAATTTTGAAAATTTTTCTAGGCAAGGTGAGAAAAGGATTTGGGGGTCTGTTCCTGTTCTTTAGTCCAGCCAACTGTATATGATCATTGGCCCCCGCAATAGCCACTAACTACGGCTTTAAAATACAGGCTGTGGTCTTTTTTCTCAGAAAAAGTTCAAAACTTTTCCCAAGTACGATCAGTTATATGATAATTTCAGAACTGGACTAATCGACAAACCCTTGTGTTATCTCTTTAATCATTAGTTCAATGTGCTCGTGGTATTTAAATCGCTTTGCGTGTAAAAATGAATTCAGGTAAAGAGGAAATTGACAAATTCATAAAGGAAACTAAAGTTATTAATGTTTACTTACGCTTCAGTAGTCATATCTAGAACAATCTTACTTAAATGATGTTAGCTGGTCTGATCTCATATGACAAAAGCATTTGACGTCGTAAACCGCAATATTTACAGCACAAACTGAAGATTTATGAAATTCGCCACCCATTTCTCCAATGGTTTCACTCTTACTTAATAGATAGGAAGCAGTGTGTTGAAAACTGGACCGAAGTTGTCCTGTTGTATACGTTTTATACACAGTGTATGAGAGTTAACGGAGACACATCTCCTTTTCTACCCATCAATTGAGGTATCCCTCAGAGAACCATCATCGCACCTGTATTCTCCCTTCTCTTCATCAGTGCTCTTCCATAATACGTCCAAAATTCTAACATCGATATTTATACTGACGATGGTAAGTTAACATCCTGTTCTAAGTGGAATAACATCTCTTAAGTAAACAAAAGTATTCAAGGGGACTTGGATAACATTTAGCGTTGGGCTATAGTGAACAAAATAGTATTTCATGAAAAGGACGCAAAATCTATGCTTATCATCGGGAAGCGATTGAGAAAACGAGCGATTTAAGATCAACATTAAGATAGTGATGCCACCATTGCCTTGAAGGACTCACACATTGAAAGAGTAAGATGACACAAATTCCACGGGGTAGAGATTGATGATGACTTAACTATCAAAGATCACTGTAATGCTCTCGCTGACAAGGTATCTAAAAGAATTGGTCTATTGCACATCTTTGACGTTGAACCACGCTAACGTTCATTCCCCTTGTTTAACACGTTAAACTGGCGTCCTTTCTGTCAAGACGCATACATCAACAGATGCACAATGATTCTCAAAAGAATAACTGAATACCTGAAATCTATGCTTCAACTGAATTCTGATGTCCACTCAAGGAATACACGCTATTGCCTGATTTCATGGCGCGCGGGAGACTGACACTACCGGATTTTTGCGGACTTTGTACTTGTACTATATTCCAGATTCAAAATGGCTGCAAGCAATCCAAAAACTCATCTAAAATGTGAATCAAAATTGTCTACTTTTGAGGCAATCAAATGTGATATATCACCAGAAAACTTGCCATCACTCGGCAAAGAAAGTCTGAAGCAATATTGTAAGGAATTGAGGCTAAAGGTCACCGGGGAAAAGCAAGAACTTGTTGAAAGGTTGGCAGAAAGTCTGAAGCAGTATTGTAAGGAATTGAGGCTAAAGGTCACCGGGGAAAAGCAAGAACTTGTTGAAAGGTTGGCTCCTCTAAGGAAATCTGCTTAACTATTCCAGAAGAGAGTACTTCGCATTAGTCAAACTTATAAATTCTCCACCTCACTTGAAGCCTCGGAAGTTCCTCCTCCATCGGCAAATTGGAAAATAATAGGAAGAAATGAAGATCCTAACGTCCCTGTGGTTAACGAAAATACTATTCGAGACTACCAGAAAGCCAAATACGCAGGTAAAAAAGGTCAGTACCGAAAGGCGCACCTTATGTTTTCTTCGAGGCGAATAACGTCTGTGAAAATGATGGAAAGCAATTCTAAACGCTCATTTGTAAAAGCAAACATCCTCAAATCCTACACAGGAAGTATTTCCCGTCCTGTAACCATAATGTTTGTTGGTAATACACCTACCCAAGCATATTGTCCTTGTGCAGTGGGGAAAAGTGGATTGTGCTGTCATGCAATCGCCTTGCTGATGCAGTTGAATTATTTTAGAGAACATAAGAAGCTGTTTCTTCATATGACTTGCACAGAAAATGGCACCTGAAAGGACCTTCATGTAATAGAACAATAAAGTCAGCATCACAGATCAAGCTGAAGTTTTTTTAGAAATCTCAGAGGAGCAAGAAGGGATATAAAAAAAAAAAGAAAGAAGAAAAAAATTGTAGAGCAAAATAAGGAAAGAAGTGATTTCAGTGATTGGTATAAACGTGATGTGATTGAAATAGAAAGGAAAATCATGGAGAATATTGCAACTGAAAAGAAATCAGTTGAAAACCATGTTTATTCAGTGTTGTCCAGATACAAGAAGAAATCTGGCTTGTTTTTACATTTAAGATATAAAACAGAGTATAAAAGAAGGGAGAAAGGACTAGATCATGACAAAGAAGTATTAAAACCAAGATTCCAGGCAGGTACTGAGTCAATTTGGAGGCCACAAATATCAACTGAGTCAAAGGATGATTCTTGCAGCAGCAGTCCATCTGACCAGTCATTCCAGAATGAAAGTATTATCATTCCTTTATTGAAAAAGCAGAATTATTTGGAAGTTGAGCAGTGTTCTAATGAATGGAGAGCACTAAGAGTTGGGACTATCACTGCAAGCAAGGTTCCATCTCTCCTAGAATTTAATGGTGTGAAAGAGTTTGACAATGGATGGTTTGCAATAAAGAACAGAATTGATGAACATGTTTTAAATCCAAAAAGGAATAAATTACCAAATTTTATTAGAGGCAAGCAACAGGAACAAAATGCAATACAACAATTTCAAAATGACACAAAAATGGGTGTCTCTCAGTGTGGGTACTTCAAACATCCTTCTGATAGCAGATTTGGAGCCAGTCCTGATGGAGTGAGCACTGGGCGGCAGCAGTTTTTGGTTGAAATAAAAACCCGATCCCTTCCCAATAACACCCAGCTAGAAAAACTAAACGAAGAGGAAAAAAACAAGAAAATGGAGATTGCATTGAAACCATTACCACATGTAAGATGATGGATTATTACATTGTTGAATATTTCACCAACATATCAATAATTAATCTCCCAAGTTAACCATAAATGCTGAAAGTCAGTACTTTATTGAGTGACAGTACTCAATACAAGCATTGCTATCAGAGTAGGTCTTCCTCCTTCCACCCTTATCCACACCCACAAATATTTTTGAACCCATTAGCATACATTGTAGCTCAATAGACATCTTTACCTTCTTTATTTGTTAGGTCCACTTCAGACCACGTAGTGCCACTTTTGGGAGTTGATTCTTTTATTTGTAAATATTTTAACAAAAAAACAAATCTCAAGGGAATGACGTGATCTGAAATAGGCAATTTGCATACTAAGTTGAAAACAGTGAGAAAATATCACAGGATTCAAGTTTCATATTATTATATATTGCAGATCACAGGAGCTCACTTGTACCAGTGTCACCTTCAGATGGAGTGCACACAAACAGACCTGACCTATTTAATGTCATATGTTCCTGAGACAAAAGTTGCTACCTATTTCCCTGTTCAAAAAAATCACATTTTATGTGAGATCATGATGGAAATATTAATACATATATATGAAAACAAATCTTTCCAAGATCCCTGGGCACATTTTGAGCATCCACATCTTAAAAAGTTGGGTAATCAGCTGGTGGGCTCAGTGCCAAGTTTTGAAAATACCCGCCACTTCCGATCCTGGGTTAATTCTGTAGCAAAGTCTACACTATGCATTTCTTTTTAAGCTACAATTACTAACTGTACTACAGAAATGATTAACTTTTAGCACAACTAAATAATATACTGTTCAGGCTACAGAAAGTTCTTGTTGTGTTTAAAACAAGGTACAACATGTATATTTCACAACAGAAAGTGTGTATGAAATAAAGATATACTGTAAAACTAACATTCCTCATTCATTTATTAGTGTAAGAAAGCAAACACTGTATCTGTCAAACAATTCTATTCAATTAGCACTAAATAGTAGTAAATAGCACTAATAAGACAATAGGAAACAAAAGACATTCAAACATTTAGTACTATTTAGCACTAAATATATTTATAACTGTTTCACAGGTATAAATATTGCAGCCCTTTTAAAACGTTTTTGCTTTATTTATTTATTTATTTATTTATACTGACCACATCTTGTTTAATTCAAATTTTCAGTAGTCTCTATTAAAAGTTTTTATATAAAAAATGATGAAGTTGTTGTAGTTGTACTGGAAACTTTTTCCTTTGGTGCAATAGGGTCAAATAGCATATTGACGATGTGAGCAAATACCTTATAGATGCAACCCAGAAGGTCACATCTATTCTTTGGCCAGCACGCATTTAAGATTGACCAGTCTCTCCTACGGCCAATAAAGTTCTCATTATAAATGCGCAGTGTAGCAACATCAAAATTTTTGTTAATCTCACTTTCATCATACTGAGGATTCATTTTCATCGGTGGCCGATTTTGAAGCAGTCCTTTTGAATGGCATAAGTCTTCAATGCCAAACCCCTTGTCAGTGAGTACAGTGGTACCCTTCTCTTTTACCATATCTAAAACTCCACATTGTTCAGTTAATTCATTGTCTGTTATTCCTCCAGGATAGGTGTCTGTACACATCACCAAGCCACCATATGGAGTCTTCTATATGCCTGTCTTACCAGTGTCATGGTTCTTGTAATTACTAAATGTTGCACTACTCACATCATAGTTTTCAGGTGATGAGATCCAGTTTTCTGTACAGTCCCCTAATAGTACAGTGTCCTGAAAACCAGAAGACCAAAACTCTTTGGGTAACAATGAAATAACTTCCCCCGGGTATGGACTGAGGTCAATAGAATCAAAAAGAGTTGAAAGAAATATTGACCATGCAGAAAAAATACGGGATATAGTTGAATCACTTGTGTTTGTGAGGAAAGCCATGACTCCAAGGTGCAATGTATGATGGCATATTGTAAAATAACACAACAATTCAGTTCTCTTTGTGAGTTTTCTTTGCCCATCTTGGTTAGTTTTGCAATCAGGATAAATTATTACAGAAATATATGGCTCTATACATTCCAAAACACAATTAAAATCATCAACAGTTAATCCAGTCATGTAAAAAAATCTTTTGGGTTGTAACTCGAGACATTCATATGAAAATGTCAAGTCTTTCATCTTCCCTTTAAATTGTGCAATCTGCTTGCTTAAACTGTCATTTTTTTCAGTGAGGTCTTTCACTTGCTGAGACAGTCTGTTTGCCTCTTCGGTTTTGTTCTCTAGCTTTTCTTTGAGCTCTTGTAATTCTTTTTGCATTATGTCAAATTTAGATTCATCTGAATTAAAGTCAAGTGAACAGGATGAACGTATGAGTTTCCTTCTCTTGGTGTTTGTTTGCTTAGTCGTACTCAGAGAACGTTTTGCAGCAGCAATTTTACTTTGTGGTGTCACTTTCTTTGTTGTTTGTTTATTCACGTAGTCCGGGTGGCAAGCTCTATCTGGGAGATCATCTAAGTTGTCTCTAAATCCTTTTGACCAGTGTACTGAACATATCAAATCACGTTTGAAGTCAACTGCTTTGTTCATTAATACTTTATTATAAGCATGTTGTTTGTCTTTGCATTGAGCGAAGTCACTGAAACAATAGTATTGTAATCCCTCGAGTTTAGTTCGTCAGGAGTTTGTACACAGAGCTGCAGCACAGTTCCAATGTTCACGACCTTCTTTAGTCTCTTTTCCTTGCACATTTGTGTATTTAATTGAAGGCGGATCTTCCAGGTTTTTTCGTACGCCTTCGGGCCAATGTTGTGTACAAATCACTTGTCTCTTAAAATTGACTTCGTTTATGGTTTTCCCGATAAGCTTCGACAACAGGTTTACTAGCTGAAGCAACTTTAGTTAAAGTGTAATATTCTCCTTCCGTTTTCCAGGACGCTTTACAGTATCGACTGGCACAACTCCAATGCCAAGAGGTCTTATGAATTGAATCAGGAATAGTACATGTACAAAGTCCGCAAAAATCCGGTAGTGCCAGTCTCCCGCGCGCCATGAAATCAGGCAATGGGAAGTTAAACTTACGCTGCCCCATAGACAACAATTCCACTGAAGGGGAACGATTATTGTCGGTTAGATCAATTAAAGACTGGAATAACCTTATTAGAGAGCTCTAAATCTCTACGGACACAAAAAGTTTTAAAAAGCACTTGATAAACTCTCTTTTGATAAGACAGAAAGAAAATAACAACTTCGGCACGCCATCTTAGCTTCTTTATTAATTAAAAAAATTATAAATAGGAAACTTAAAGGCCAATTCACAGCTCTGATATTGAAAATATACCTATCTTAATTGCAGTAGCGCAGCTTAGCAAATAAAAGTGGAAAAGTAATTAAAAGCTTCTGCTTATCTATGCAAGGTTTGTTTACTGCAATGGCGTACGTAATTCTAGTCTTTCTTCCACCAAAAACATTAAGTCAAAAGATGAATTAACTAGACCCAAGGGGGACTTAATCTTGTTCAATTTAGTCTCGGATTTTTCTCTTTGAATTCCTTTGGTTTTTGTTGTGCAATTTACGGTACAAATGTCCAAACTGAACAGACTTGCGAAAAGACGCCGTGTATTTCCAGCCAGAGGACAGCCTTGAAACGCGAATAGTCAAAAGAAAAGAAGCTAAAAATTAAAAGGTTCAAACACAAGTTAAAAGTGACTTTCTTTTCAATTTTCTACGCTTATCGACCCCTTTTTTATCGATACGATATCCTTTATTTTTGTTACGGCACGCGTGATAATTATAGTAATAATAATGATAATGATAATGTAGATACTTTTAATTAATTTAAATTTATTTTAATTAGTTTACATTTATAGCTAATGTATTTTATTTAATTTACTATCATGTTATTATATTGTAAATTGCTGGTATAATAAGACGTGTAATTAGGTTTTTGAATTTTAAATTTTAAATTTCTTGGATTGTAAAAATGTGTAATTCAGCCCTCGGGCTGCAAATGCATTTGAGATTAAACTATCTATCTATCAGAGGAGATTGAAAACCTAGAGAAAAATCGGTGGAGTAAGCAGTCATACCTGACAACATCAAGAAAAAGATAAAAGAGAAACCTAAACGATTCTGAACTATTGTTTCACTGATTCACTGATTTCACAAGTGTACCCTTCAAACGACCGTTGATATCTTAACTCGAAGTCGTTTACCGTCGTTTCTCTCAGTTTTGGTTCATTTTCGAACCATAATTATCAGTCACACTCAATAAAATAAATTGCCTGTTCGCTTTGCAAGTTGTGAGAACTCCCCTCAATCTGGACTGGTCCCTAAATCCCCTTGAATAACCTCCTTCACAACCAGTGCTGACTGAAGAGTTTTATGACGATGAATGGCTAAAAAATACACCGACCGGAGCTCCGCTTTTAGACTCGGCTAAATCTGTATATTATAAACTTAATATAAGAGAGTTTGCACCAATTTTTCCTCCACACTCTGTCAAAGATCAGGAAGGTCTCAGAAGACGACGACGACGAGTGAGATACGTTTTCGAAAATGATGTGGAACTGCTATAGAGACTATTCGAAACACATTCCCACTCGCGTGCCAACAACGACATGAAATAAAAGGCTGATGACCTGTTCCAATCTAAGAATAACTCAACAGAGATTTAAATTTTGTTATTGTATAATGACGCCGCTGGTAAACACAATCCAAGGCAATCAAAATAAAACATTGGATAGCTATGGAAACATTCTCGATTATAAGATACAGATCGTAAAATGAGTATAAGAAAACCATAGCAGACGTTGAATTTGACATAATAAATTACCTGTAATTTTCAAGCAGGGAATCCACGGGGATGAGATAAAAATGAGTCAGTAAAGGAATGATGAATAAATGCAGATATATATCTCAAGTGACTACATCGTGAGACAAACAATTAAACAGTTTATTAGTACTTACCACCACAATGAGCAATAACCTCTTTAACGAGATGCAGATATATAGATAAAATGTTACACTCTTTGCAAAATAGAAGAACATTACAACCTCATGATGAGAAACGTAAAAAAAATCTTTAAGGTTATAACTGTTCAATGTGATATAACTTTTAAAAAGCTTGACAATAAGTCACTTTTCTCTTCAACAATTTAAGCATTGGCAGAATTGACTAAAGACAAATTTCCTCCAAAAATTCTCGGTTGATATTTCCTGAAAAGCTAGGAACTCCTTGCCCCCTTTCCCAACTCTTCCTTGGTCGTCGAAGGATCATATTTTCCGTGTAGTTATTAAGTGCAACTGAGGAAACGATAATACTGACCAGACGGTACATCCTATTTGTTATTGACTTCGTGAAGTTTATTGACTACATCTGTAGTTCTGTAGTAACTGTGACACATAAATGTCTCTTAAAATATACAAGAAACCATTTTAATACATTCAGCTGTTTCAGTTTCCTTTCAGGTGAGGCTGCCTGGCTCAGGTCAGTCCTCAGAGGTAAATTACGATCTACAAACCTAATCAAGATATACACACATGTGATTGCTAGCTATCATTTCAGACGTTCCTTGTGAGGCATCATTATGCAGACAGATTCGTTTCAGAATTTTTCAGACCTCACATTGAAAGCCACTTTCATAATTTTTTTTGGAAAAGAACTTAAGACCAATTTGATCGAGTGTCAGCACCAACGTCGAGTTATATTCCTTGTAAAAAGAAGAAACAGGCAAAGAACAATTTTTAAAGACAAAACTGCCGCTAAGTCTTCAAAACAAGATCTTTCAAGTGATTTTTGGAAAAAGCTCTTTTTAACCATTAGAAACATTTCATTTCTTCGTTTCGACTTTCTTGCGAACAGTTATAAGCATTAGCTTAACCGCTAAATAAACACTTACGTCTCCGACCCAGTGACTATTTTAGGCAGACATACTGATTGCGAGGTGTTCAAACAGTTGACCCTCAGAAGCCTGAGTACGTTTACCCAACTATTCTACGAGATCTTCAACTCTTGCGTCCAAATTCTTGTCCCATATTTTCATGCTAATCAGCCTCTGCAGAGGAAAAATAGATTTTAACCGAAGTGTTAAAACTATTTTGCCACCTTTACGCTTAGAACAGTTACCGAATGTGCTATCAGCGTTCAGGGCCAATTATACACGGATTTAGAATAATTATCAAAGGGTTAACAATTCCTTATTCAAATCCAAGTTTTACCATCATCCGATCCCCTCCTCAAACAAGCTTAAAGGGCTATTACTGAAATATACTGATACCCTTATCAATGAAAATTTGCATCAAAAACAATCACGAGAGAGATTTTTCTTAACAATGCTGATCGTGGAACCTTAGTGATATAACAGAAAAGAAGACATCTGAATGAGATAACGTTGATTTAAAGGAAATTGGTAACTTGCCATGTCCATCACAAGTCTTACCCCGAGCAGTATTCTCACGTCTTCAAGCTCATTTTTCAATTCAGTGAATGTTTGTCTCGCTTCCGGGTCATTTTGCCAGCATCTCATCATTATCTGGTAGCTGATATCGATCTACACATATAATAAGCACCATTATGACAGCGAGGTGCATATGATGTTTCTTTCAATGAGCATAAAAAAGGTAAGAGAAGGAAAAGTGCCAAATCCATGTACTGTGGTTTAGGCTTTCGGAACCCTTGCTGAAGCAAGTTTGGAATTTTCCTGTCTTCAAAACGTGGATTCGTTAAACCACCTGAAAAAGAACTAATATGCATCTTAGTGCAACGGGATATAAACCTAAACTCAGTACCTTCTTCATCTGGAGCAGAATGCAAATTCTTTTCTCCACCCAAATGGATTGCGTTGATCAATTTTAAAACATAAGTGTGAAGAATAATATAAGAAACGTATTCCAGCCTAAAGTAAACCACTATCACAGAGTCTGATCAAATTTCATCAGGTGTTAACTATGGTGAGAATCTCGTCAAGGGCAACTCCATAACTCCGCCTGACAAAGCAAAAATAGGTTATGGTTGTGGGCCCATAGAACCAATTACCGATATGTTAAAATGTAGTAATATATGAAATAAATATATGTTATTTGCCGGCTGGGTGAAAAAATGGTGAAAAACTGTGACGGAGGTCTTGAAAATACTGCCCGAGGCCGTAGGCCGAGGGCAGCATTTTCAAGACCGAGTCACAGATTTTCACCATACGGACCGACCCTTAGCCGGTAAATAACAGATATTTATTTTTTTTAAACTTGACAAGATTCTTTCCGAAAGAACCCGAATGATTTAGGGCTGTAAATACGGCAATATCTTCCATAAACTGAACAATTTTTGAGATAGTAACTGGTTAAAATAGAGGTGATGCAAATTAAAGAAAGATGCCTCATCGAAACATTTTCATTTCCGCAACGATAAAGGTGATTTAAAAGGCTTCTTAACAAACTTTGAAACATTATTTTTACAAGTATCTGTCACAATCTGACACCTGTCAATTAGAGAGCGCGTAAGAAAAAAAAAGCGCAAGAAGATTTGAAAAACAACGGAACTAGTTTGGCAAGGACTGTCACGACAATGTTTTCTTCAAAAACAGTCAAGATCT